GTACAGGTAAAGGTCAAAGAGATGTTGGTGTATGAGACTGCTTTAAGTGAAAACACTCAGCATAGACAAAACATCATACTTTAGGTTATTGTTTGCTAATTCCTAACAAATACATAAGGCATGACTATTTGGGGAGGAAATCACTAGTTCTGAAAGTTTAATGTGTTTCAAAATCACCCAAGGACTTAGAAAACACCCATTTCTGAGTCCTGTCCCCATTTTGTCTGATTAATAAAATCTGGACTGGACACAGAGAATTTGCATTTTTTTTTTTTTTGGCCGGTTGTGGGACTTGAACTCTGGGCCTGGGCACTGTCCCTCAGCTCTTCAGCTCAAGGCTAACGCCTTACCACTTGAGCCACAGCGCCACTTCCAGCCTTTTTCTGCTTATGTGGTGTTGAGGAATCGAACCCAGGGCCTCATGCATGCAGGGCAAGCACTCTACCACTGAGCCACCTTCCCAGCCCGAGAATTTGCATTTTTATCACTCTTCCAATCCAATGGTAAGAAACTAAAACTGTGGTATTGGGACCATAGTTTGTATGTGGGTGTTAAGTGGTACTGAATTCTATCCATATAATAATAGCACTTTTATTTTTTCATTTACTTTCATTTTAAGTTAATATGCAGCAGTGTGATAGTGTCTCATGCTTATAATTATAGCTACTTGGGTGGCTGATGTCTGAGGATCAAGGTTCAAAGCCAGCCAAGGCAGGAAAGTTCATGCGATTCTTTGTGTAAGTTAACCAGAAAAAAGCCGTAAGTGGAGCTGTGGCTCAAGTGGTAGAGCAATGGCCCTAAGTTAGGGGTTGGGACCAAGTATAGTTTCTGGCCCTGAGTTCAAGCCCCAAGACCTGCGTAAAAAATTAATATGGAATTAAAATGATATGTATTCTTTGAAATCACCTAGGTCCATGAAAATTAACTGATAATGGTAAGTATACATGCTTTCCAATGAGTTTCCTTATTTTGCAAAGCATATTTAGTCAGATTTTGTAAAAGAGATTTAAAATAAAGGAATGTAGGCTTTCGGTGTTAATGACACAAAATGATACTTTAATATTAGATTTCCAATGAATATTAGTAATTTGCAAAGGTGCTTCACATGCTTCGCGCTTGCGCATGCTCCCCACCCCCCCAAGTCAGTCATGGCACTTGAAATCAGGGCCTGGGCTCTGTCCCTGAGCTTTTTTGCTCAAGGCTAGCACTCTACCACTTTGAGCCACAGTGCCACTTCTGGTCTTCTGGTGACTAATTAGAGATTAGAGTCTCATAGACTTTCCTGCTCTGGCTGGCTTCAAACCGTGATCCTCAGATCTCAGCCTCCTGAATAGCTAGCATTACAGATGTAAGCCACTGGCACCTGGGTAAAGGTCCTTTTCACTTAGAGAAGTCGAGTAAATGTGTGGGTATATTAAAATGACAGAACCTCTCTTTCAAATGGTAGCCACTTAAGAATTAATTTAATCTATTTTGGAGCATAGGAATCTTTAAACTGAAAGCTGTCCTGAAACATGGACGATAACGTGAAGATTGAGAAGTCTTGCTGGCTACTGATGACTAGCAGTGATGACGTGCAAAATGGCATCAGCCATTCTGCAGGAATGTGCCCGTCTAACTGCAGCGTCGGTCCTTACCTCTGGGATGACACTAGTTAGATATCGCCGTGTCATGAGCTAGTTCAGGATTACCAGAGTGACTTTTATTATGAGCCATCCTCACGTTCCTCTTACAATATCAAAGTTAGTTGCTGAAGCCCAGGTCTTACTCCCTCTCTTACTTCTCTGTGTACTATGGATTCCATTCAAATATAAGCATTCATAATTGTGATTATCCAGTCTAATATCAGCATGTAGGTACAGTTTTGTGACCTTGAAATGAATCCTGTTAAAAAATAAATGACCATTTGCTTGTATCTTGATGGCTCCCAAGTTCCTGGGTAGGCACTCACTCAGACTGACTAATCTGTTATTGGAAACAACCTGAGAGGAAGCATGCTATGTATGGAGAGGCCAAGGAACCCCAAAGTGCCGCATTTGCCATCTGCTGCTTTTTAAAAAGTCTCTCAGCAGGCTCTCCACTTAGGCTTTAGCTTTATCTACAGTCACAGAAAGATTAGATGTGACTGAATAAGCTCTCCAATCCAGTCAAGTGGCCTAAAGATAAGGAGAGCTAGCTGGGTTTTCTGGCCTTCCACACCCCTTTCTATAACACATCTGGAGCAAAGTGTTTTTATGAGTTAGGGTGCCTATCTACATAGATTGGATACATTTATATTGGGATGACCCAAATATGGTCCAAATTCTAAGAGCATTACTTTAAGTCAGTGTTGCAGAAAACTCTAAAATACATGGAAAGAGCATGGGTGTACAGACATGAGGTTGCAATTTCACATGCTTACTGTCACTCGAAATGCATGCTTCCTCCACAGTCACCATGAAAACAGTCTCCTGGGTTGCCAGCATCCCATTATAATCCATTTCCTGAAAGTGTATTCAGAGTACCTTGGACCTGCCCATCACTGATACTTTGCCCAACTCTTGAGAGCTGATAATGTCTGACAGTTATCAAAGTGCTTTGAGACTCTCATTTAATGAACAAGTGAATTCGAGTGTATATTTTGTCCATTTTATGATATCTGGTGTCTCCACAAGGAGCCTAGCTAACTCTTAGTCCTTCTGTCCTTCCCTACTCTTCATGACTTCTGAACCATTTCAGTCACTAGAGAAGGTTGATCTAGCCAGACCTGTGCCGGGAAGGGTTTTCTTTGTGCCTTTTCCTGTTTTACTGTTATGGGAGTTCCTGTGGAATACTTTCTTCATTTCAAAAATGTTGACATTAGAGATAGGACTGATGGGTCATGCCTGTAATCCAAGCACTCCGACGATATGACAGAGTCAGCAGCATCATGGGTTCTAGGACACCCTGGGCTACAAAGCAAGGCTCTATCTCAAAAAATCTTTCTCTACTTTCTGTGAAAGGATATCGATCTTCTTCTAACATATGGCAAAATAAAGTGTGTTGTTTTATTTGAACTGCAACTGAAAATGTAGCTGTGCTAGGAACCTTTAAAAGGTGGTATAAGAAGTAAGTGGGGGGCTGGGAAGGTGGCTCAGTGGTAGAGCGCTTGCCTTGCATGAATGAGACCCTGGGTTCGATTCCTCAGCACCACATAAGCAGAAAAGGCTGGAAGTGGCACTGTGGCTCAAGTGGTAGAGTGCTAGCATAGAGCTGAAGAGCTGGGGGACAGCACCCAGACCCACAGTTCAAGCCCCAAGACCAACCAAAAAAAAAAAGAAGTAGGAATGACACTGTTAAAAGAAACTCAGCCTATTTAACATACAGTAAAAACTTTCACTTTTATCACCAGGGGAAATGGCACTGGCAGGGAAAAGAAGAACTTTGTTGTAAAGGAAACTAGCTTTCCCTAGAGAAGATAACCAACTAGCCTGTGGATTCCATTAAATAGAGCCCATAGCTCTCAAAAGATTTACAGCCAAAGGACTTGATGTATTAAAAGAGAACTAATCAGGAAAAAAAAAATAGACATGCAATTCTGTCCATTAAAGTAGCTTTCCCCACAGAATTAAGTTAATCTAATTTGTCTCTGGTTTCTCAATGAACTACGCCATGACTGAACTTTCTATTTGGACTCACACTATGTCTTTTGGTGTTATGTGTTGTTGGAAAGATGCGTAACTGATGCATGAGTGCTCTCTGTTCAAACTGTTTCTAATATATAATTTCCTTGTCCAGTGTTCTTTCAATACGGTACCTAGTCTTATAAGAATGTCAGAATGATGCAAATTAAAGTGTGGACTACATGGTTATTTATTAAGAATACAACATAATGTAACACCCTATTATACTGCAGTCCTTGTGACTCAGAAGAAAATGCGATTTTCTCCCCCAATCGGAACATTTAGTTTAAATAAGCAACGGGAAGTAATGCGTAATCTAACAAAAATACTTCTCTATAATGATTCTTTTTTTTTCTTTTTTGGTGAGATTATCCTATTCAAAGTTTTGATGGGAAAAACCTTCCAATCTAAGAAATCTTTCATCAGACTATCATCCCCATTCACAAAGGCTTTTTTTTTCTGGATAAACATTCATAAATGTGTATTTATTTAAACATACTTTTCTCTTCCAATGTGTCTATGTAATATCACCCTAAACCATAGTGTTAGTAAAATAAAAACTTTGGAAATTTTTGAAATTTGGGGAGGCGGGGAAAGATATATCCATTCAAAAACAATGTCCGACAATACAGAGCAAGGAATTACACTGGACCCACTTGGTGGTTAAAACACATTGGAGTCTACAGTCAGCAAGCTCTGGCAGGAAAGATCCACATGTTGAAAGTGTGATGCTCCATCTAACCACTTCTAGGGAAACAGGAAACAAAGAAAAAGAAACAGAAAATCGCCCAGCCCTCTGCATGGCTCCATTTGGACTCTGACATTGAGACTGTGTTTGAACTCTCAGTCTTCAATGACAGTCTCCAGGATGCCCACTTCCTTGTTCCCACGCAGCTTTTCTTATAGATTACCTATGGGAGACTGTAATAATAGGACACATTACAAAAAGCCAAAACACATTTTCTGAACCAAGATGGTGAGGGCTACTCACTTCTAGGGCCCAGGTTAGTTTCTGGGAGCCCACCATCTTTGATGGCAAAACCAAGGCAATCCAGGTGTAAGTTCTAATTTTTTTTTTCTTTCTCAGTTTTGCAAACAGATGTTGTTGATGTGCTAAGGTTCAGCTACATTACCCCTTAAGAGAAGCCACTGAATATTGCTTCTTTTTTTCCTAAGGTCTCAGAAGTTGGTTCCCACTGCTTTCTAGCATCATTCTAACCAGAACCCCACATTTAGCCATGGCAATGTTTAGCTTGAATGGTACCTGTTATTGAAAGGGAGTCTGTATTTGCATTAATACAGAGAATGCTAGTTTAGAAATGAGCCTGATTGCACGGTTCATTTTGTTCTCCTTTGTAGAGCCAGGCTGCGGCCCACTACAAAGGCACGAAACATGCCAAGAAGGTCAAAGCACTGGAAGCCATGAAAAGTAAGCAGAAATCTGTAACTGCCAAGGACAGCGCAAAGACTACCTTCACCTCCATCACTACCAATACCATCACTACCAGCTCTGACAAAACAGGTTAAGCAACAATCTTTGTTATTGTCGTTGTTGTGGTTGTTGTTGGGGGTCTCCCCTTTTGTCTAATCCCATGTCTGTGGAATTATGTGCCTGCTGCATCGATTCACACTTGAATCCATCTTTCTGTGTAATAATTGCTCCTTTGCATTTTTCCAGTGTCCATATGACAATCCCTGATTATCTTCCAGATTTTGCATTTTCAGGCAGTCCTGCAGCTGTTCAGAGGGACAGAATAATCATAAGTTCCCTGAAAGCTATCCCTCCCCTAACCTTTTATTTTCTAGGTAGACCTTTTCAGTGTGTATGCTTAGCATTTTGTACACAGTATCTTAGCTTATAACTTCACAGCAGATTTGATTTAACTGTGAGTCCCCAGCAAAGTAAGCCAAATGACTCGAGGAAGAACATTACTACTGACAGGCCTTATTCTCATAAATTCCAAGTGTTGCGTTGTTTTAAGTAGTGGCTGTGTGATTCTGGGCTCCTTATGGCTGAATAACCTTCCCTCTACATAAACAGGTAAGTGTTATTGGTATCAATTGTTCTTTGTAAGAGTCTTCACACTGAAATAATGGCCTCTGAATGGCCCCTTGGGATAGCTCCTGCAAGCAACCAGCTTATTCACAGCATGGGAAATCAGTGGAGTTCACCTAACCTGGCATCTTAAAATATAAGACCATCAGTCCTCAGATTTTATATAAAAGGCAGATCTGTGTGATTCGTGAATGTTCCTATAACAAGTCACTTCCAAGAATACGGGGATAATGATGGCTATTTTCCAGTCTACAAGTGGATCTTTGAGGAGAAGGAAGTGTTTATAGTCTAGGGGTCCATGGGTGGTAATGTCTTAATTAGAAGAGTGTCTTCTTGCCATGACTTATGAAAATGTAAGTTGCTACCAGTGAGCATATAGAGCAGATAACAACACCTTTGTTACAGATGGTAACATCCACTAGACCATACATAAGCTCCTCTAAAGATCCGGAGGAATCAAAAAGAATCAGTGTAAATCTAAAGGGATGATGGATTGCAGGGACACATGGCATGTCTTTCAAACAGGATGTCCAGTCTCTCCTCTCCTCTTTAATGTATTATTGGAATCCCAGAGCAGTAAGGCAAGAGACAAACATAAAAGGGATCCAAATAGGGAAAGAAGAAATAAAACTCTCCCTCTTTGCAGATGACATGATCCTGTATTTAAAGAACTCCATAGGGCTGGGAAGGTAGCTCAGCAGTAGAGTGCATGCCTTGCAAGCATGAGGCCCTGGGTTCGATTCCTCAGCACCACATAAACAGAAAAAGCCGGAAGTGGCGCTGTGGCTCCAGTGGTAGAGCACTAGCCTTGAGCTGAAGATCTGAGGGACAGCGCCCAGACCCAGAGTTCAGGCCCCATGACTGGCAAAAAAAAAAAAAAAAAAAAAAAAGAACTCCATAGACTTCTCCCCCAAGTTACTTGAGCTTATTTAAGCAGGGTATAAAATTAACACACAAAAATCAATAGCTTTTCTCTATGCCAACCATGAGAAGAGTGAGGCAGTGAAATGAGAAAACCAGCTCCATTTGTAATGGTATCAAAAAAATAAAGTTAGCAACTGACTTAAGCAAAGAGGTCAAGGACCTCTATGATGAAAACTTTAAGAACCTGAAAAATGACATTAAAGCAGATTTACGGAAGTGGAAAAGCCTCCCATATTTCTGGATTGGGAGGATTAACATTGTGAAAATAGCAATACTGCCAAAAACTATCTACAAATCCCAAGCAATATCTATGAATATCCCAACAACATTCTTTAATGAAATAGAAGATTCAATCCAAAAATTTCTATGGAATAATAGAATATTCTGAACAGCATAAACAGTCCTTAGCAGGAAGAACAGTGCTGGAGGAATATCAATACCATATAAAGCCATATATACATATATATGTATACATATATACACACATACTCACATATATGTATATATATTATATATTATATGTATATATATTATATATATATGTATATATTATATCTATAATATATATGTATATATTATATATACATATATATGTATATATATGTATATATTATATCTATAATATATATGTATATATTATATATACATATATATGTGTATATATATGTAAAAAGCTTGGTGCTGGCACAAATACAGGCCTGAGGACCAAAGGGATAAAATTGAAGATCCAAAAATGATCCCACAGATCTATGGCCACCTAATCTTAGATAAAGGAGACAAAATTATCAGATGGAGGAAAGACAGCCTCCTTAACAAATAGTGCTGGCAGAACTGTCTATACACGTGTAGAAAACTGAAGTTAGATCCTTATATATCACCCTGCAACAACTTCAACTCTAAAGGATCAAAGAGCTCTAGTCAAGAGCAGATACCCTGAAAATGCAAGAAGAGATAGGGGATACACCGCTCAAAACTTCCTAAATAAAGGTCCAGGAACACAACAAATCAAAGAAAGGCTGGATAATTGGGATCACATTAAACTGATGAGCTCTGCATGGCAAAGGACATAGCTAGTAAGATAAATAGAAAGCCCACAGATTGAGAGAAGATCTTCACTAGCCATATAAGAGACAAGGGCCTTATGTCAAATATATAGCTAGAACGCATCTTGAATAATGTTACTGCTACCATCATTGGGCATCCTCCATCTATGCCAACCCTTCCCATCCTCTCAAATAACCTACTTCTCTTTTCATATATGTACGTTGAGTGTTATGATACAAACCTGCTCCCCTGTTCTGATAGGAAGCACAGCTCTGAAACCACTCTGGACTAGTTCTCTACAATACTTAAATCCTTGGCAGAAGGAGAAGGAGATAAGTCTCCAGGATCAAAGATCATTTTTTTTTTTAGCAAAAAGATTATAACTCTTCTGCTTAATGCACAAGGGTGTTCTAGGATTTACAAACTTATCCATTTATATAAATGTGAGAGACACATTAAATCACATTTTACTGGTTTCGCCAAACCATCTCAATAAAAAAATCAAATTATATGGAAAAACCAATTCCAATTATATGTAAAAAAAAACAGTGAGTGCTTTTGGAAAATGCAAAGCATGCAGCTCTTTGGTAGATGAGAGACGCTGAGGGAGCTGTTATCAGTGGAAGAGGGACATCGGTAGAAAGGGAGCTGAGTTAGAAAGTTGCAGGTGTACTTGATGAGAAGAGAATTTGAACAAATATGTTCTCTCACTATTCTCAATCATGTATGTTTATGAATATAAATTATAGTTTACGCAATGCTCTAGGATAATTTCTACGTCTAAATGACCTATTCCCTATTTGGTTTTATTGTTCTTTGCTTTCTTTTGAGAAAGGGTCTTGCAATGCCACTTTGGGTGACCTGGAGTTCCCAGTGCGTCTGCCTCACCCTCATGGTGAATGCCACCATGCCTAGCTTCTCCTCTGGTTTTATTTTTTTTTTTTTGTCTTTTCTTCTTTTTCTTGATTTATGTCTGTCTTCAGGCCAGAGAAGTGAATGAAAAGAAATATTTACTCATCAGCCACTGACAACTCATAGAAAGCATAGTTTACCTGCTTTGATACAAAGAGGCATCTCCTAACATTAAAAAATTATATTTTTAAAATAATGATAAGGATTGGGTTAGTGAGTTGATACAAAGAAAAATTTACAGGCATAGGTACTATTTTAAGAGTATATAACACACTCAAAATTCTTTGTGTATGCGTGGTTACTATTCATTACAGAATATTTCACAGAACAAGCATTTCTAAAAGAAGCCAGGATAGCTGTCTGTTTTCTTGAATGTAAGATTTTCGGTGCAGAGAAAATCATGTCAAAAATCAACAAATTGGAGTCAGATACAATCTAAGTCTGTGGGAAGATAATTTAGGAAGATTGAGTGTTAGAAGCCAGCCTGAGCTAAATAGTAAGATCCTATGTAAAAAATAAAATAAAAATAAATAATTAATTAATAGGTATCAGGAAATTACATTCAAAGTAGCTTGCAAAATATGACTGCAATGTTATTTTTTTTTCTATTGTAAAAGGACAAATTCTGAATTGGCTCTTTAAGTTTTATACAATATTAACACCTGGTCTTTCTTTACTTTTGGTTCCTTCCTGGTATATCAATCAGCTTAAGATCCTCCAAATAAACAACCTTGAAATACAAGCAGCTTTTGCAACCATAAATTATTTCTCATGCACACAGCACATCCATTTTGTTTTGCTTTTCACATGAACTTAACACCAGGGCCACGCTGTAGAAGCAACTTGCCAATACTATGAGGAAGGGAAAATGAAAAGTGGCTCTTACAGCAAATTTTTAGTGGAAGTGACACATAACTTTCCTCTCACTTTTTCCTGCAAATTCACATGACTGAAGCTCATCACAATAGGCCAGGAAGAATTTCTGTCCTGGGAGGTATTGGTGAATAACCACGCAGCCTTTTCTGGTAGCTTCAACTCTCATTTGTACTTAGATATCTCAACATTCTCCAGACATGTCTCTTAAATCCAGACTTACTTTTCCATAGCCTGGCCTGTGTTCACTTACATGGATAGTATTTCATAGGCTCTCAAAGGAAACTAAAATAGTCCTCATCTTGACCATTGTCCAGCTTTCTCTCTTTCACATTGTTTCTTGGGTGTTTGTGCTGATATTTGAACTCTGGGGACTAGGCACCGTCTCTTAGTGTTTTGTCTCAAGGATGGCATCCTACCACTTGAGTCATGGTTTCACTTCTGTTTTTGTTTGTTTGTTTGTTTTCTTTATGATGCTTAATTGGAGAGAAGAGGGTCAATGACTTTCCTGACCACCTTGGCTTCGAAACATGATCACCTGAGTAGCTAAGATTGCAGGCATGAGCCACCAGCACCTGGCCCATCTTTCCAAGATTTTAGTGCATGGATCACAGACTTGAAATCTAGTTACAATTGGATTTTTTAAAATATTAATAAGTTTTTTTATTGTGAAAATACTGTACAGAAGAGTTACAATTACATGAGCAAGGTAA